CCATGTCCCCATCCATCCATCCATCCATCCATTTAACCATCTCTTCATACAACCCCACAATCCATCCATCTATCCATCCATCCCCTTCATTCATTTATCCCCCTATCTATCCATCCATCCCCCTCAATATCCATCCATCCATCCCCCTCAATATCCATCCATCCATCCCCCTCAATATCCATCCATCCATCCCCCTCAATATCCATCCATCCATCCCCCTCAATATCCATCCATCCATCCCCCTCAATATCCATCCATCCATCCCCCTCAATATCCATCCATCCATCCCCCTCAATATCCATCCATCCATCCATCCCCCTCAATATCCATCCATCCCCCTCAATATCCATCCATCCCTCTGTAAACATTCTCAGGGTTCAGTCAGACATTCAGGATGACATTTTTGGTCTTATATAGAAGTCACTCATAATTCTGAGCAGTAAAAGCCAATTTTTCCTCCTTTTTTTCTCCCCTCCTCGGATGTCTGCACAGCACAGTTCCCATAGAGGAGTATACAGGAATGTATATACAGATTGTATCTGGGAAGGAAATGTTCTATAGACTGAAATAATCTTCCAGACAGAACCTCCGATAACGGATTTTCCCATAGAGAGGCCTCCAAACTATTTACAGAGCGGTGTCATGGAGAACATCCGATGGAAGTCTCCTGGATCTGCGGAATCCCAGACTGGCTCTGGATCCGGCTCCTATCCTGGACTGGCTCTGGTTCCGGCTCCTATCCTGGACTGGCTCTGGTTCCGGCTCCTATCCCGGACTGGCTCTGGTTCCGGCACCTATCCCGGACTGGCTCTGGTCCCGGACTGGCTCTGGTTCCGGCTCCTATCTCGGACTCGCTCTGGTTCCGGCTCTTATCCCGGACTGGCTCTGGTTCCGGCTCTTATCCCGGACTGGCTCTGGTTCCGGCTCCTATCCCGGACTGGCTCTGGTTCCGGCACCTATCCCGGACTGGCTCTGGTTGCAGCTCCTATCCCGGACTGGCTCTGGTTCCGGTTCTTATCCCGGACTGGCTCTGGTTCCGGCTCTTATCCCGGACTGGCTCTGGTTGCGGCTCCTATCCCGGACTGGCTCTGGTTGCGGCTCCTATCCCGGCCTGGCTCTGGTTCCGGCTCCTATCCTGGACTGGCTCTGGTTCCGGCTCCTATCCCGGACTGGCTCTGGATCCGGCTCCTATCCCGGACTGGCTCTGGTTCCGGCACCTATCCCGGACTGGCTCTGGTTCCGGCACCTATCCCGGACTGGCTCTGGTTCCGGCTCCTATCTCGGACTCGCTCTGGTTCCGGCTCTTATCCCGGACTGGCTCTGGTTCCGGCTCTTATCCCGGACTGGCTCTGGTTCCGGCTCCTATCCCGGACTGGCTCTGGTTCCGGCACCTATCCCGGACTGGCTCTGGTTGCGGCTCCTATCCCGGACTGGCTCTGGTTCCGGTTCTTATCCCGGACTGGCTCTGGTTCCGGCTCTTATCCCGGACTGGCTCTGGTTCCGGCTCCTATCCCGGACTGGCTCTGGTTGCGGCTCCTATCCCGGCCTGGCTCTGGTTCTGGCTCCTATCCTGGACTGGCTCTGGCTCCGGCTCCTATCCCAGACTGGCTCTGGTTCCGGCTCCTATCCCAGACTGGCTCTGGTTCCGGCTCTTATCCCGGACTGGCTCTGGTTCCGGCTCTTATCCCGGACACTGGCTCTGGTTGCGGCTCCTATCCCGGACTGGCTCTGGTTGCGGCTCCTATCCCAGACTGGCTCTGGTTCCGGCTCCTATCCCGGACTGGCTCTGGTTCCGGCTCCTATCCCGGACTGGCTCTGGTTCCGGCTCCTATCCCAGACTGGCTCTGGTTCCGGCTCCTATCCTGGACTCGCTCTGGTTCCGGCTCTTATCCCGGACTGGCTCTGGTCCCGGACTGGCTCTGGTTGCGGCTCCTATCCCGGACTGGCTCTGGTTGCGGCTCCTATCCCGGACTGGCTCTGGTTCCGGCTCCTATCAGTCTAAGCTGGGACAGAACTTGACGGCTTCTTTAACCCCTCGTACGTCTATAACCGGCATGGCAGACGTGGGGGTAAAGCAAGCTGACAGCCGCTACAGCCATGAGCGGAGTACCGGCTTCGGGAACCGATGAGGGGCTGATAACAGTGACCACTTTTATGGGGTTCTCAAAGTGCGCCCCCCCTTCTCCACCCCCCCCCCCCTGCAAACACCAGGCGATAAATACCGAATGTGAGTTATATATTTAATTGACATTAATGATATACATTATGTTTTTTTGCACTATCCATACATGGCCGACAATCATCCCCATCCAATATCTGGCCGAGAATCACACAATCCAATATCTGACCGAGAATCATCCCCATCCAATATCTGACCGAGAACCATCCCCATCCAATATCTGACCGAGAATCATCCCGATCCAATATCTGTCCAGAAAATCCGCCCAATCCAATATCTGATCGAGAATCATCCCCATCCAATATCTGACCGAGAATTATCCCCATCCAATATCTGGCCGAGAATCACACAATCCAATATCTGACCGAGAATCATCCCCATCCAATATCTGACCGAGAATTATCCCCATCCAATATCTGACCGAGAATCACACAATCCAATATCTGGCCGAGAATCACACAATCCAATATCTGACCGAGAATCATCCCGATCCAATATCTGTCCAGAAAATCCGCCCAATCCAATATCTGATCGAGAATCATCCCCATCCAATATCTGACCGAGAATCATCCCGATCCAATATCTGACCGAGAATCATCCCCATCCAATATCTGACCGAGAATCATCCCCATCCAATATCTGACCGAGAATCATCCCCATCCAATATCTGACCGAGAATCACACAATCCAATATCTGACCGAGAATCATCCCCATCCAATATCTGACCGAGAATCATCCCCATCCAATATCTGACCGAGAATCATCCCCATCCAATATCTGACCGAGAATCAGCCCAATCCAATATCTGACCGAGAATCATCCCCATCCAATATCTGACCGAGAATCATCCCCATCCAATATCTGACCGAGAATCATCCCGATCCAACATCTGACCGAGAATCATCCCCATCCAATATCTAGCCGAGAATCATCCCGATCCAATTTCTGATCGAGAATCATCCCCGTCCAATATCTGACCGAGAATCATCCCCATCCAATATCTGACCGAGAATCATCCCGATCCAATTTCTGACCGAGAATCATCCCCGTCCAATATCTGACCGAGAATCATCCCCATCCAATATCTGACCGAGAATCATCCCTGTCCAATGTCTAGCTGAGAATCACCCTGATCCAATATGTAGCCACGAATTAGTCAGATCCAATATCTGGCCGATCTGAAGACCTGGAACGACACCATTCATCATAAACCGCAGCAACACTCACTTGTTGTCTTCGAATTCAACTTTTGTTCACATTCTGCTTTTGCTATGCCCAGGAGGTAGATCTGTTCCTCTTTGGTGATGACATCATCGGCATCCACCTGGAGAAGAGAAGAGAGAACGTCAAACGTTTATCGGGGGGAACCGATAATTAAAACCAACAAAACCACGGACGGCAATCGAGATATCAATACGTTCTGTAACGAAAATCAAAGACGAGCTCCGGAAGGGTCCATTCATAGATGTCTACTGCCCCCATTTCCGAAGAACAAGGACACCACCGCGCACCACATGGAAGGAGCGCCAGACCAAAGGATGAAATATTCCAAATCCATTCATTCGTTTATACGTTAAAAAAAAAAAAAAAAAAAGATCCAACGGGTTTCGGGAGTCAGGAGAACGCCCCCTTCATCAGGGCTTCAGATAGAACAAGAACCTCGAGGAGACCCAAATGAGCTCTTTCCTGTGTGGATCTGAGTTGGGAATCGAATTGTTGGATCAGGAGAGCTCCTGGTCGGTAGAATCTGGCTGAGCAATCAAGCTCTACTTTGAGTCCATTCAAGGTCCTCAATTTAACTAAAGCCCCCATAAAGGGAGGGATTCCCAACCCCTGAAACGCGTTGCCGGTTTTTGAAACAAATGAATTTGGACCCTCGTCCTTTGGTCTGACGCTCCTTTCCATTGGTGCATGGTTTTATCTCGTAACCTGCTAGGGTACCCTCTAAAGCAGCCTTTCGCAACCAGGGTGGTCAGGCACCCCGGGGGGGGGGGGGCCTTGAGGTTTCTTCAGGGTGCCTTGGCAAAATCTCTGAAAATTGCCCAAAACTTGTATACAAGCCAGCGGACGGACAAGCCTGACTTTTAGTTACACAAAGTCCCAGGTTTTCATTTTGCGCCATTATGACCACCTAGCCGCCGGCGTCCTGACAACCAATGGCATCATCAGTTGAGAAGGAGGATGTCAGTTGCCTGAACAGCATCCTAGTCTGACCCTCCCCCGCCCCTCTCCATCAGTGCTGGGGTCACATTAGCTCAGCAATGGAGAAAAACTGCAGGAGAGGAGAAACATTGGCATACTAGTCAGGACCAGTGTGCAAAAGTGTATTTGCTGTGGAAGGATAAATCCCCTCCAATGTTGGTGGTCCTACGTGTGTGGGTGTTGCTCAGGACTGTCCATCATTTTAAAGGGCGTCTCGGGACTGTCCATCATTTTAAAGGGCGCCTCGGGACTGTCCATCATTTTAAAGGGCGCCTTGGGACTGTCCATCATCTTAAAGGGCGCCTCGGGACTGTCCATCATTTTAAAGGGCGCCTCGGGACTCTCCATCATCTTAAAGGGCGCCTCGGGACTGTCCATCATTTTAAAGGGCGCCTCGGGACTCTCCATCATCTTAAAGGGAGCCTCGGGACTGTCCATCATTTTAAAGGATGTCTTGGGACTGTCCATCATTTTAAAGGGCGCCTCAGGAATGTCCATCATCTTAAAGGGCGCCTCGGGACTGTCCATCATTTTAAAGGGCGCCTCGGGACTCTCCATCATCTTAAAGGGAGCCTCAGGACTGTCCATCATCTTAAAGGGCGCCTCTGGGCTGTCCATCATTTTAAAGGGCGCCTCGGGACTGTCCATCATTTTAAAGGGTGCCTCGGGACTGTCCATCATTTTAAAGGGTGCCTCGGGACTCTCCATCATTTTAAAGGGCGCCTCGGGACTGTCCATCATTTTAAAGGGCGCCTCGGGACTGTCCATCATTTTAAAGGGCGCCTCGGGACTGTCCATCATTTTAAAGGGCGCCTCGGGACTGTCCATCATCTTAAAGGGCGCCTCGGGACTGTCCATCATTTTAAAGGGCGCCTCGGGACTGTCCATCATTTTAAAGGGCGCCTCGGGACTGTCTTTCATTTTAAAGGGCGCCTCGGGACTGTCCATCATTTTAAAGGGCGCCTCGGGACTGTCCATCATCTTAAAGGGCGCCACGGGACTGTCCATCATTTTAAAGGGCGCCTCGGGACTGTCCTCAGGTGCCTGGACTGAAAAAAGGTTGAGGAGCACTGCTCTAGAGCAAGGGTGTCAAACTGGTGGCCCTCCAACTGTTGGGAAACCCCAAGTCCCATCATGCCTCTAGCTTTGGGAGTCATGCTTGTAACTGTCAATCTTGCAATGCCTCATGGGACTTCTGGTTTGGTAACAGCTGGAGGGCCACCAGTTTGACACCCGTGCTCTCGAGGGTAGCCTTGTCTGTTGTGAGCAGCCTACGGGCTGAATCCAGCCCACCAGGCCATTGCACCTCTCTTGTAGCTGTGGCACCTCCCTCGTCTCCATCCCCACCTTGTCTCAGCAGTCGGCAGCAGAGAGGAGGACTGAACCCCTTCTACAGATCCTGGACCCCCTTATCTCCGCCTGCCCTGGTCCCAGCATTTAAAAGACAGGGCAGCTGACTACAGCCCTCCTCTGGTCCTCGTCAAGGACCTGCACTTCCTGCTTCTCAGCTCTGCCCACAGCTTCTTCCTGGCAGCAGCACAAGGTAAGGGGGTGCACTGTGATGTAAGGGAGGGTGGGGGACTCTTGACCCCTGATGTTGGGGGGGGGGGGCTCTTGACCCCTGATGTTGGGGGGGGAGGGGGGCTCTTGACATCTGATGCGGTGGTGGTAGTCTCATCCTTTGGTCTGACACTCCTTTCCATGGGTTCATGTTTTTATCTGGTAACCTGTTGGGGCGCCCTCTAGAGCAGGGGTGTCAAACGGGTGGCCCTCCAGCTGTTGGGAAACCCAAAGTCCCATCATGCCTCTACCTTTGGCTCTTGACACCTGATGTGGTGGTGGTCGGGGGTGCATCTTACAGATACAACCAGCCCTTTGAGGGCAACCAGAACGCTGACGTGGCTCATGATGAAAGTGAGTTTGACACCCCTGCCATGAAGTGTATGTCCAGCCAAACCTTATTTTACTTCCATGGCGGCGACTGGAACAGACCTACTTTTATGGGCAAGGGGTGCTGTTGGGAGTTTGAGGATGCCTCATACCAACCACTAGGGTACATGTCGTGCATCGGGGGGGGGGGGGTTCTCCTTTAAAAACATTTTCCCAATTGCAACAATTTCAGTTTTTTGGTCCTGTGGGCTGGTCCTCCCCTCCGGGTCTGTTGCCATGACCCTTGTACACCCTCAGGTCCACCTGGGAGACTACTACGCCAGTGTCTGACCACCTAATCATCATACAACTGAACGGTCCTGAGGAAGCGGAGATAATCTACGAAACACGCCGACAATTGATCAGGAAGGACGTCCTGAAAACGTTCTGGAGATGCAACAAGAATATCATGAAAACCTCCGATTATCAGTTCTTTTGGGGCGTCCTGACCACTGAAGGTTGTTGTGTGGACTTGCATGTCCCTATGTCCACCTGTGACCACTGAAGGTTGTTGTGTGGACTTGCATGTCCCTATGTCCACCTGTGACCATTGAAGGTTGTTGTGTGGACTTGCATGTCCCTATGTCCACCTGTGACCACTGAAGGTTGTTGTGTGGACTTGCATGTCCCTATGTCCACCTGTGACCATTGAAGGTTGTTGTGTGGACTTGCATGTCCCTATGTCCACCTGTGACCACTGAAGGTTGTTGTGTGGACTTGCATGTCCCTATGTCCACCTGTGACCATTGAAGGTTGTTGTGTGGACTTGCATGTCCCTATGTCCACCTGTGACCATTGAAGGTTGTTGTGTGGACTTGCATGTCCCTATGTCCACCTGTGACCATTGAAGGTTGTTGTGTGGACTTGCATGTCCCTATGTCCACCTGTGACCATTGAAGGTTGTTGTGTGGACTTGCATGTCCCTATGTCCACCTGTGACCACTACACCAGTGTCAGACCACCTACTCATCGTACCATACAACTGAACGGTGCTGAGGAAACGGAGATAATCTACGAAAACACACCGACAATTGTACAAGAAGGACGTCCTGAAAACGTTCATGAGATGTCATACAACTGTACGGTCCTGAAGAAATGGTGGTGACCATGAAACGCTTCGACGTTGCACAAGGACACCCCGCAAAACTTAATAGAATAGTGCCCCATCATTGGTGTCAGTGGGAGGAATAGCGCCCCATCATTGGTGTCAGTGGAAGGAATAGCGCCCCATCATTGGTGTCAGTGGAAGGAATAGCGCCCCATCATTGGTGTCAGTGTGAGGAATAGTGTCCCATAATTGGTCTCAGTGGGAGGAATAGTGCCCCATCATTGGTGTCAGTGGGAGGAATAGTGCCCCATCATTGGTGTCAGTGGGAGGAATAGTGCCCCATCATTGGTGTCAGTGGGAGGAATAGTGTCCCATCATTGGTGTCAGTGGGAGGAATGGTGCCCCATCATTGGTGTCAGTGGGAGGAATGGTGCCCCATCATTGGTGCCAGTGGTAGGAATGGTGCCCCATCATTGGTATCAGTGGGAGGAATAGCGCCCCATCATTGGTGTCAGTGGAAGGAATAGCGCCCCATCATTGGTGTCAGTGGAAGGAATAGCGCCCCATCATTGGTGTCAGTGGGAGGAATAGCGCCCCATCATTGGTGTCAGTGGGAGGAATAGCGCCCCATCATTGGTGTCAGTGTGAGGAATAGCGTCCCATCATTGGTCTCAGTGGGAGGAATAGCGCCCCATCATTGGTGTCAGTGGGAGGAATGGCGTCCCATCATTGGTGTCAGTGGGAGGAATGGCGCCCCATCATTGGTGTCAGTGGGAGGAATGGTGCCCCATCATTGGTGTCAGTGGGAGGAATGGTGCCCCATCATTGGTGTCAGTGGGAGGAATGGTGCCCCATCATTGGTGTCAGTGGGAGGAATGGTGCCCCATCATTGGTGTCAGTGGGAGGAATGGTGCCCCATCATTGGTGCCAGTGGTAGGAATGGTGCCCCATCATTGGTATCAGTGGGAGGAATAGCGCCCCATCATTGGTGTCAGTGGAAGGAATAGCGCCCCATCATTGGTGTCAGTGGAAGGAATAGCGCCCCATCATTGGTGTCAGTGTGAGGAATAGTGTCCCATCATTGGTCTCAGTGGGAGGAATAGTGCCCCATCATTGGTGTCAGTGGGAGGAATAGTGCCCCATCATTGGTGTCAGTGGGAGGAATAGTGCCCCATCATTGGTGTCAGTGGGAGGAATAGTGCCCCATCATTGGTGTCAGTGGGAGGAATAGTGTCCCATCATTGGTGTCAGTGGGAGGAATAGTGCCCCATCATTGGTGTCAGTGGGAGGAATAGTTCCCCATCATTGGTGTCAGTGGGAGGAATAGTGCCCCATCATTGGTGTCAGTGGGAGGAATAGTGCCCCATCATTGGTGTCAGTGGGAGGAATAGTGCCCCATCATTGGTGTCAGTGGGAGGAATAGTGTCCCATCATTGGTGTCAGTGGGGGGAATAGTGCCCCATCATTGGTGTCAGTGGGAGGAATAGTGCCCCATCATTGGTGTCAGTGGGAGGAATAGTGCCCCATCATTGGTGTCAGTGGGAGGAATAGTGTCCCATCATTGGTGTCAGTGGGAGGAATAGCGCCCCATCATTGGTGTCAGTGGGAAGAATAGCGCCCCATCATTGGTGTCAGTGGGAGGAATAGCGTCCCATCATTGGTGTCAGTGGGAGGAATAGCGTCCCATCATTGGTGTCAGTGGGAGGAATAGTGCCCCATCATTGGTGTCAGTGGGAGGAATAGCGCCCCATCATTGGTGTCAGTGGGAGGAATAGCGTCCCATCATTGGTGTCAGTGGGAGGAATAGTGCCCCATCATTGGTGTCAGTGGGAGGAATAGTGTCCCATCATTGGTGTCAGTGGGAGGAATTAGTGCCCCATCATTGGTGTCAGTGGGAGGAATAGTGCCCCATCATTGGTGTCAGTGGGAGGAATAGTGCCCCATCATTGGTGTCAGTGGCCCGTATTGTGATCTTTTTTACTTCGTTCTGGATAGAGCCGGGAAGGGTTACAAATCCCTTTCGGGATTTCGGAGTTCTGCTTTAATCACCGTTGACAATTTCTGTTTCTTCAGTATAAAGATAAATAAGAAGCGCGTTTCGCGGAAGCGTTTCGTAAACCATCTCACTGGAACATTTGTTGGACGGACGGCGCAGTCGACTCGATTGACTTGTAAGACGCAGGACTGGTAAATCCGTCGGGCGTGAAGCATCGGTGAGCCGCGTGGATCTGAGGAATAAATAGATTCTGTTCCCTGTGGAGGGATTCTTCACGCCAGAGCGGAGTTTGTACATTTCTCTGGGATGGAGAGGGAGATGGTGAAAGACAGACGCTCCCCCCCCCCCCCCGGGGCCACGTCTGAGAACACCGAGCGCGGAGTCGTCCCTTCACACTACAGCCGGGCGCATTACTGCCGCACTACCAACCCTGCGCTCGGTGCACTCTGATCTGTCCTCCACCGGGGGGGGGGGGGGCTCCTAACACCACTGCGCTCGGTGCACTCTGATCTGTCCTCCACCGGGGGGGGGGGGGGCTCCTAACACCACTGCGCTCGGTGCACTCTGATCTGTCCTCCACCCGGGGGGGGGGGCCCTCCTAACACCACTGCGCTCGGTGCACCTTGATCTGTCCTCCACCGGGGGGGGGGGCTCCTAACACCACTGCGCTCGGTGCACCTTGATCTGTCCTCCACCGGGGGGGGGTCCTCCTAGTACCACTAAACTGGCCCTTTGTTTGGAAAGTGTGAAGACCCCCCCCCTGGTCTAGACGGTCGGGTCAGAGCAACTCTAAAACTGCAGCTCATGTAGGATGTTCCCGGTCTGCGGTGGTCAGGACCGAGGAGGGAAGGCTCATTGATGGAGGTGGGGGAGGGAAGGCTCATTGATGGAGGTGGGGGAGGGAAGGCTCATTGATGGAGGTGGGGGAGGGAAGGCTCATTGATGGAGGTGGGGGGGGGGGGGAGGCTCATTGATGGAGGTGGGGAGGGAAGGCTCATTGATGGAGGTGGGGGGGAAGGCTCATTGATGGAGGTGGTGGGGGGGGGAAGGCTCATTGATGGAGGTGGGGAGGGAAGGCTCATTGATGGAGGTGGGGGGGAAGGCTCATTGATGGAGGTGGGGAGGGAAGGCTTATGTATAGGGATGGGGGAGAGGCTCATTGATGGAGGTGGGGAGGGAAGGCTCATTGATGGAGGTGGGGAGGGAAGGCTCATTGATGGAGGTGGGGAGGGAAGGTTCATTGATGGAGGTGGGGAGGGAAGTCTTATTTATAGGGATGGGGGGGGGGGGGGAGTCTCATTGATGAAGATGGG